AGAACTTTATAATAGAGGACCGAAGAAGTTCACATCCTTTTCAAGACCACACGGAAGTACTTATATGGTGAGGACCACAGTCGGATTTGAAGATTCATATGCGAAGTTAGGTTATGGAAAGGAAACAATGCATTGCACATTTGGGTAGAACCTACCACCTCTTATCAATATTTCTTCTTCTTTTTTTTTATTAAGCAATTTTGTGTATTTTATTAATTTTGAATTTTACTCTACAAGTGGCTTCCTCTCTCATGGTTTTTCATTTTTATACATGTAATGACTCTAGCAATAATATTGTTAAATCCTAGAGAATTTTATGGAAGATCTTGAAAAATAATTATCTAGTCTATGAGGTGTTGAAACTATTGCATTAATAATGTGATATTTTAAATCAATACAGACATCCTCTATTAGGCATTTAATTAAAAATGATCAGAAATAAGTACAGTTAGGAAAATTTCATATTCACAAATTGATATATATATAATATATATATATATATCATAGAAATATCACACAAAAGAAAAAGTGCTAGGTTATAAAATCTAAAAAAAATTTATCACATTTTCAATTAATAAAAATAAAGGAAGAGAATAAAAAGAAAAAGAAGGAAAACAGGAAAGGGATATTTCTAACTAATAAGTAGATAAACTTTTGATCAAGGAATGAAATTCTACAAAGACTTTAGGACTTATTAAATTCCTAAAAGCTAAGGTTATTAGTTCACATATAAGTTTTCATTAAAAGAAGAAGTTTGATGCACAAATTGTGAAACCCCTTGAGTAAAAGAAGTCAATTTCTTAAATAACGATGCGCCATTTAGTGTAATTGTCAAAATTCCATTTAAGAAATTCCATAATTAAGCGTGTTCAACTCGGATAAATTATGGAACGGTGTCGCCTGGAAAGTTACACCAATAGCACAAAACCGTGAGACCCTTAGGCCAAAGTGGATAATATCTCGATAGTTATAGTTGTTAATGTGTTCCACGGTTGAGCAGAACACAAGTATCAATCCACGATCATGTGTCAGCTAGTTGAGTAGAAGTCTACCAACGACTTTGGCAGAGAACGTTCTCTACTATCATTACCTTACGTTCTCTGTTATGATTATCATTAGCTAGAATTCAATATATATGCATGTATTGCACTGTTCATGGTATGAATGGAAAAGCACATAATTACTCTCATCTTCGGTTTTGTGCTATGTTTTGTTTTTCCCTGTTGTGCAGGTAAACTCTGAAGGTTTTTCATGGTATCAGAGCCTTTCTAGGCCTTACGGCTTTATCTTCTTTGTTTTTTTTTTTTTTCCCATTTTCTGCCAAAGTCGTTGGTAGACTTTTGCTCAACTAGCTGACACATGATAGTGGATTGATACTTGTGTTCTGCTAGCCTTAAACCAAAGCAACATTTTAATCTCCAGCATCAACTTGTCCAATCCAGTGATCCAACTTGTTATTCAGCCGCGGTTAAACACCAATGCTGGAGAGATGCAATGTCAGCCGAATTTAAGGCTCTTCAAACTCAGGGGACTTGGGAATTGGTCTCTCCACCATTAGACCAAACTATTTTGGGTTGCAAATGGATTTATAAGACCAAACGTCATTCAAATGGATCCGTAGCTAGATATAAAGCCCGGCTTGTTGCACAAGGCCATCGTCAGGAATATGACATTGATTACACTGAAACATTCAATCCTGTAGCTAAATTCCCTACAATCCGGTTGTTTATCATTGCAGCCGTGCATTATAAGTGGAAAATTACTCAACTCGACGTCTCAAACGCCTTCTTACATGGTGATCTAAATGAGACGGTTTGTATGCAACAACCAATTGGTTTCAGAGATCATCAACATCCTGATTTTGTTTGCCGGCTTCATAAGGCCATTTATGGTCTTAAATAGTCTCCTAGACAATGGTTTGCAAAATTAACGACATACTTACAAACCCGGGGTTTTCAGCATAGCGATGCTGATCCTTCTCTACTTATTTACAATCATAATTCATATCTCATCTACCTTCTTGTATATGTAGATGATATTTTGGTTACAGGGAATGATGCATCGATTCTTCAGTCTTTCCTTCAACATCTGCATCAGCAATTTCAGGTCTGACATTTAGGTGGCTTGAATCAGTTTCTCGGCATTCAGGCTATTTCTACGGATTCTGGATATCATCTCAATCAAACTGCATTTGCTGTAGTCATTCTTCATCGGGCAGGTTTACAAAATTGCAAACCGGTTGTCACACCATTTTCCCTCAAATCTCAGCTGGACAGCAGTTCTTTTCAGCCACTTCAAATTCAATGCAATTTAGGCAACTTGTGGGAGCATTGCAATTTCTAACTATCATGCGGCCCGACATATCCTTTGCAGTTAACAAATTATGTCAAGCCATGCATTCTCCTCACCAGTATGATTTCCAAGCTCTCAAGCACTTGCTTCGGTATCTTAAAGGTACGACTGATTTTGGTCTTCCTATTACAAGCACATCCACATCACTAAGAACTTATGCTGATTCCAATTGGGCCGGAGATCCACTCGATCGTAAATCTACTACTGGTTATTGTTGTTTCATTGGTGACACTCTTCTATCTTGGTGTGTCAAAAAGCAACCCACGGTGGCTCGGTCTTCTACTGAAGCTGAGTATAGGGCATTGGCAACGGCCGCAACTGATATAATTTGGCTTCGTCGGCTTCTTGTTGAGTTTCAATTTCCTACCAACACTCCCACACCTCTACATTGTGATAATGTTTCAGCCATAGCATTAGCTCACAACCCGGTCTTTCATGCCATGACCAAACATATCGAAATGGATTATCATTTTATTCGAGATTGTATCAAGTCTAATGTTATTTCGGTTCATCATCTTAGCACACAAGATCAACTACCTGATATTTTCACCAAAGTTCTTCCACGACTTCGGTTTACGTTTCTTCGAGACAAGCTTATGGTCACTTCAGCACCATCAGCTTGCGGTGGCCTGTTAACGTGTTCCACGGCTGAGCAGAACACAAGTATCAATCTACTATCATGTGTCAGCTAGTTGAGCAGAAGTCTACCAACGGCTTTGGCAGAGAACGTTCTCTACTATCATTACCTTACGTTCTCTGTTATGATTATCATTAGCTATAATTCAATATATATGCATGTATTGCACTGTTCATGGTATGAATGGAAAAGCACATAATTACTCTCATCTTCGATTTTGTGCTATGTTCTGTTTTTTCTTGTTGTGCAGGTAAACTCTGAAGGTTTTTCAATATTCAATTTGAATTGTTACACAAATTGTTTGCCCTCCTCCAAAGGAATATACTCATTATATAGAGAATAATATGTATCATATAAAGAAAGCAATCAATTTTATTCCTAAGAGCTAAAATTTCAAAACTATACTAATTTATTATACAAATATATGTCTATAATAAACATAGGGTAATTGATATTGTAATTAATGCATATCTCATTAGCCCAAAAATGCATATACTAATACAAATTAGTTAAATGGATAAATTATCAGGATATTATAATCCAGATTTGGCTTAGATAAATTTAATTTGAGATAAACATAATATACAAATAATTAGTTAATTTTTCTATGAGATTCATTCTAAAATAAATTTAAATATTTCAAAATATAATCGAATTTTACTTGAGCAATCATAGCCTAATTTTTTAGATTTTTTTTTCCAGAAATAGAGGCGATAAATTCAGAATTTAATTATAGTTTTTCAAAAAAAACAAAGAGGACTAATTTGTATTAACATGACTTGCATTTATGAGACAATGATCAAATATGCATTAATTACCTCTATGTATTATAACCAATTACGTGTGGAGATCTTTTAAAGGCCAAATGCTATAGACCAACAGTTAAAGGAGTTGGTCATTAAGAATGGACCCGATAACTAGTCCTTGTCCATGAGAGATTATTACATGCGGAGTTCAAATCCAGAAAATTGTTCGATTTTGTGACTGTGAACAGTTAAAGCACAATGGTGAATAATAACTGCGTTTTTACTATTCACAGTCACACAACCGAGCAATTTTCCAGATTCAAACTCCGCACGTAATAATCTCTCCTTGTCCAGAGATACTTCATGACTAGGGTAAAAGAACATGCCTGAAGGAGAATATGTAGCGGATATGCATGACTTGAACATGCAGACACAAGAATGCTTCACTATTAACAAAAAAATAAGCCAAGATTCACCAACTTTAGCTTTAATTGACTCGCAAATAAATCCAAAAGTTGACAACACCAAATTTCTTATATGCACAAATTTTGATGAGAGATCAAAGCTATTTTTAATACATCAATAAAGTTATTAATACTGCATAGTGAACCAAAATTTTCATAAAAATTTGTCCATAAACTATTATGAAAACCCTCAACGGCATCTCCCTGTTTTAAAACAAATAATGTCACTCTTGTACATCTAACAAGGTTGATGCCGTCATCTTTAGAGTTGTTTTCATAATGGAATAGAGCTACTTAACCATCAGTTCTTTGCTCAATTCCAAATCAACAGCAGAAGAAATCACCTGGAAAACAAGTGGAGTACAGGCATTATAGTGACTTAATCGATTTAATTTTTGTACTAAAAATTGCTTTAAAAAGCGGTAAGAAAGTCATCCCAAACAAAGACTTAAGCTTTATTTGGGACAGCTTTCATACTGCTTTTTAAAATAACTTTTTAGTACAAAAATTTCAAATTCAAGAAATTTTTGTACTAAAAAACTGTTTTAGAAAGCGAAAAGAAAGCCGTCCCAAACGAAAATTTGACATAGTATGGTCTCGATCAAATCTAGTCTGGCTTGGCAAAATCAATCTAGCAGTCTCATGCATCCTACATGCCTATATAATGCCTCAGACTACTGGTACCTTTGGGACAATTCTTTTATAATTTGACTGTACAGATCATTGTCACATATCTCTTTGGCTATAAGTCTTTCTGCTCCTTCGAAATTCCTACGACGAGTAGTTTTTACAATCAGATCGGCTAAAATGTGATAGTTGTAAGAATTTTATTGTTGCCTTCCTTCTTTAGAAGAGAAAGAACATATAATATCAACAACAGTTTTCAAAATCTTTAATTATCCTTCAACAATCTACAATTAATTTTGCATACAGCTTCTTCAATCATCCCAAAAGGATTCTTAATCTTGCATATTAATACAGCTTCAACCTCAAGCCTTCTCCGCCTGCTTGGAAACTCCTCTTCTTTCTCTCTGATCTCTGCATTTCTTCTCTGTTTGCATTAGCATAGGACTGCATTTCTACACACACAACGAATAAGTACCACAAAATTTAGCCAGTCAATTGCGGAAGGTCTCAAAACAGTCGATGAGATGAACCTGAGAATCCTGTAACCCATAATTGAGCTTTATCTCAATTAATAGTACAGTAAGGGGTGACTGTCCTAGGTGTGACAATCAAGGAGAGTTTACTTTTGAATATTCATTACACATTTACAGCTAGGATCAAATAGTGCTTCTTGATAAGTTATGAGAAAAGTAGCAACATAGAATGACATGCAAAATTTAAAAAAAAAAAAATAATAAATAAATAAATAAATAAAAAGATGATAAATGATCAAAGAATATAAGAGACCATATTGGGTGGTTAGTATATCACATATCTTTTTGAAAAGAAATTGAGAGATGGAAATCTTACATTGCAGGCATAGATACATGCTCAATTACATTCTTGCATGGTATAAACCAATAGTTAATAACAAGAGATAGATCATTTCCCAAAAATGTGGGGGGGGGACCTTGCTTGGTAAAAAAAAATAGTGGGTTACCTATATGATAGGAAGAGGCCCTAGAATGTAAGACTCGAGAAATAGTAGAATGAGCAACTACAATCGAACCAGAGGTGTACACTACATGATAAGTAATGGCAGTCAATTGGAGTGTCGCAACATGTGAACATGTTCTTCTTAAGAGAATGAGACAATTATAAAATGATTACCGATAGACTTAAGGGTAATAGTGGTGACATATTGAGCATCAGGAAAATAGCAAAAGTTTTTCCAACAATGTTGCGTGATTGATTAATTTTTTGACAATGTTGGAAAGGTTTGTCGTTGTTGGAAAGGAGTAAAGGAGTTCGACCACAGCTATGTCCACTTCGATACCACCATAAACACCATTACCCCCATCCATTTGTGCTAACAACAAAAGCGATCTATTCTTGATTAGAAGAAGATGGAGTAATAAGCTCAAAGAGACATAATGCAAGAAAGGATCGTGGAGGCATTGGTAACATCAAAGTTAGCTATAAATTTATCCTGAGCATGCTAAAGAGATGGGTGAAAAATAATAAGAAATTTGGCAATAAGAATTTCTTCTTTTTTTTTTTGTCAATTTGTGGGAATTGTGGTAAATGGAAGATATTAAACACCATCATCTCACTTGCCTTTCAATGTACTATAATAATCATAAAAAGATTTTTCATCCTATTTAAAAAAAAATCAAAGTAGATAATGTAAAAAGAAAGTGTTAGATCACTTTGGTAGGCTCTTAAAACATGACTATAGAAGCAATCTTAGGTTCAAGACAATTGAGCATCTATATGAGAACTGTATGGTCAAAGCCTCTCCATTTTGTATATTTGGTTGTGTCAATTGGTTCTTAAGCTGAAGAGTACAATGACAAAGTTTCTAATGAGATCCAATAAGGAAACAAAATGTTCAAGACTATAAGAGACGGCTAGTGTCACTGTTATGGTATCAATATATGAGGGTTAGAAATTTACATACATACCACTTTATTTCATGATATTTACATGTCTAACACCCAAAATATTAATATTACATGCCTATCACCCATATACACATTTAATATCAAATATATCACTCCTATAATTCATTTATATCATTCATACAATCCTATAAACTTTAATATTTCATTCCATGCACCCAAATTTGCTCTATGAGTAGTAGACATGTAATATTAATATTTTGGGTGTTAATATGTAAATACAACAACAACAACATCAAGCATTTATCCCACTACGTGGGTTCGGCTACATGAATCCTTTTTCTCCATTGTGTCCTATTAAAGGTCAAATTCTCGTTTAAATCTAATAAAAAGGTCATTCCTAATATTTTCTAACCAAGTCTTTTTAGGATTGTCTCTACCTTTCTTAACATAAGTCAAATCTAATACCTCTACTCTCCTAACCGGGTCATTGGAAGGCCGCCGTTTTATGTGACCAAGGCCGCCGTTTTTATGTTAATATGTAAATAGCATGAAATAAAGTGGTATGCATGCAAATCCCCCTTATGATAATGCTTGATTTCTTTGATGGAAATTAGACACCGTAATTCAAAGAAATTTGCAGGTTTAAGATAAAATAGTTTGTCTTGTGAATTTTACATGTTTTTTTTTTAATTCTCTTTTATAATGCATGTTAACTGCCAAAGAAGGCTGAAAATTAAGCAAATATGAGCAAATAATTATTAATAAGCTTTTGAAACAACTCCCATCTTCTACATCCAATGCTTTTCCTAACTCTAATTCCAACACAGATGAAGGCTTCGTTTGGAGGACTTTTTTATTGCTTCTTAAAGCAGCTTCCTAATACAAAAATTAAAATTTTTATACTAAGAAGCTGCTTTAAGAAGCCGAAAGAAAGCCACCCCAAACGAAGCTGAAGTTCTTTCAAGAAACAAAACAGATTCAAATTAAATTCCAGCAAACCTAAAAATCAAAGTTTCAAAAACAGTATAATACCTTATCTTCAATCTGCAAAGCTATTGATCACCCTTGCCCCTACTCTGTCAAGCCTCGCCACCACCGCACCAGCCTTCAAACCACCTCCAATGAAGAATGCCTCCACCATCGTCTTCCCAACCTCCTTCCCGTTCTCTTCGTCATCAACAATAGCCACCACAGTAGGCCCAGACCCACTTATAGTGCACCCAAAGGCACCAGCCTCCATTGCTGCCTTCTTCACATCAATCATACCAGGAATTAAAGGAGCCCTCTTTGGCTCCACAATTCCATCGGATGACAATGCCGATCCCAAAACCCTAACATTGCCCTGAAGTATAGAAGCCACAAGCGCCGCAGCCTGGCTTGAATTCGCCACATGATCCTTTCTATTCACCATTTCCGGCAATGCCGCCCTCATCTTCTTCGTTGGTGCTTCGAATTCAGGGCTTACAAGAACAAAGAACAACTCTTTATCCATGGGGAACTCCAATCTAATTAAATCCAGCGGTTCGTAGCTCCGGATCAGAACAAACCCGCCCATGAGCGATGGGGCGACATTGTCTGCATGGTATCCACTGACCTTCTCCTCAGATTCGAGTCCAGCAAGTACGAGATCTGTAGGGGGAAGGTGGCCTCCGAAGAGTGCGTTAACAGCGACGGCGGCGGCAGCAGCACTGGCGGCGCTGGAGCCGAGGCCGCTGCCGAGGGGAAGACCCTTATGGAGGTGGAGAGAGAGACCGACGGAGCGGATGTCGAGCATGCGCATTGCGGCGGCAGCGGCGATCCCGGCGCAGTTGGAATCAGGGTTTCGGGTGAGTTTGGAAATGGCGGCGGCGGTGTTGTTGGAGGTGATGGAGGAGATTGAGAGGGTGCCGGGGGGTATGGAGGGGTCAACAGAGAGGGTTACGGTGTCGCCAAGCCCATCGACGGCGCAGCCTAGGAAGTCAAAGCCGGGTCCGAGGTTGGCAACGGTGGCAGGAGCGAAGGATTTCACGGAGCGGAAGACGGGGGTAGGATCGGCAACAACAGCGTTGGCTAGGGTATTGGAGGGATGAGAAGAGCATGGGATGGTGGAGAAACGGCGAAAGGAGGGATTTTGATGGCGAAAACGGTGATGATTAGTTGATACGGATGTGTTAGCGGCTGCGGCTGCGGCTGCGGCCGCCATGGCATTAGAAGTGGAAGCAGGATGATCTGTGGCTAGCTACTGAGTTTGTGAAGAGTACTTTGACAATTGACATGGGGAAGAAAGTGAATCGAGTGAAGAACTAGGCGCAAGAGAAGGAAAACGAGCTTGATTCATAGGATATGTTTGTGTGACGCGTAAAGATTACTCACGTGCAAATCGGCAACTTTCCATTTTATCTTGCTTAAAATCTAATTTTTCTCGTATCAAATTAATAAGCCACCACAAAATATATCCTTATCAAATATGCATCTTGAGGCATGTTCAAATTAAAAATTTTGAATTTTTTTTTTCAAACTCAAATGGCAACAAACTTATAATCAAATTGAACTTTTTGATGAGACAGATCCGAGCTGAAATGGGCCAAATTAAAGAATTGAAGCATATTTGGAAGCTCAAAAATATTAATTGGATCACCAAATGATATATGAATATGGCATGCTTATAGTCGAATCGAGCAGCTTGACAAGAAGAAACCAACGAGCCTAAGATCGCTTAATTCTGACATCACTAAAGTACTTAAATGCTGAATAAATACTCTACGATCAAGATAATCATTATAGATCGTTTGATGGGGCATTCTAATTTGTTCTAGATCTTCTCCATATTACAAAGCATGTCACTCTAAAAAATCTATAAGTGGACTCTCACTCTCTAAATGAAAGGGACTCAGGAGGCTTGAATCATGTGTTAAAGACTTAAGAGAGATTCGAAGCTTGAAGAGTCTTAAAGCTCTGCCTAGGCACCACCGCTGTTGAACCCTCACCACTTTGCCACCCCTGCTAGACCTCTGTCCAACCATTGCTATCGGAACCCCTTTTGGCTACCATTGCCAAGTCTTCGTGCTACCTTTGTCACCTATCGATTATAGTCTCTTTGACATTTATTACTGATAACGGTCACATTAGCCTCAATCGCCCGATTACGATCCCTCCAACTTTTTTCGCCATCGACTACGATCACTCTGACCACCATGGTTTGACTATGGGTCCCCCAAACACCATCACCCATCACTATGATCCCTCTAAACACTCTCACCCACCGACTATTATCCCTCTGACCATCGTCATCTGATAATGATCTCATCGACCTCAATCGCCCAACTATAATATCTCTGGCCTTCATCGCCCATCGACTACATTCCCTCCTACCATCGTGGCATGATTACGGTCTCTTTAACCATAGTCGTATGTGTCACGCCCCAAGATCTAACTTGGAAAGAATGTCAATCAATTACTCAAACAATTTACCAGAGTTATCTAAAACCTTCAATTAAACAATCTATCAAACATCTATAAAACTTAAAACATTAATATACAAGTCGATTCATATCTCAAAAGGTCATGTACAATACTCAGGAACTACACTATAATCACCAGTATTGAAATCTATCATGAGTACAAAAGAATCAAAATCATCAAAAGACAAAAACCTGAAAATCCGGATCAATTCCTATCTTCTGCTCCCTTGCCCTGACCTAAAAATATCAACCACATATAATGAGCTTTACAAAGCCCAGCAGGTCACCTAATACCTATAACTGAAATCAAAGCACGGCTATGCTATCAATATGCATGTCAGTCAATCAAATCCATATCAGTCAATGGTCAATAAGTCTATGCAATACGGAAGTCCATAGTCAATAAAACCAGTCAATGCAGCGGCAGGCGAATCGATAAATCAACTCAATAAATCCATGTCAATCTCCAATAAGAGTCGTCACTCTTTTCGCCCGTCGGCATTTCTATAAACTCCTTATGACTCCCAATCGTTATATCAATGATCAATGGTTTAAAGGAAAGCCCGTCGGCCCACCATCCTGTACAGGTCAATTCTATCTCCAACCAACGTTCAACCAGGTTCCACTTGTATTTCAGTATCAATAGTCAATTCAAGAATCAATTCAATAATCAATCAATAATCAATTCAATAATCAATATTAAAGCAATCTATAACAATCATATCAATAATCATAAGCATATCAATCTAATCTATCAATTCCAAGCAAATCAAAAAATTTACGAAAATCGGGCAGCGTAACGCCAGTCTATCAAATTTACACAAAAATCCTGCAAAAAGCACAAATTCCAAATTTCTCCAAATTACAATAGAATATCCACGACATCAATACAAGACTATTATTCTATAGAATCCAAATCAAATCAAGTCCTGATATTTTTCTATTCGATTAAAATCGCGTAGAATCAATTCCGACCGATAAAATCTTCGTAGAATATAGTCAAATCGTGTACAATAGTCATATCTATAACATACCAAAAGTTGTGCGGTGAAAGTTGTGTCAAATCGAAATCAGGTCAAAAGTTCGACTACGAAAACACAAAACAGTGCACAACTCGGTCAAAACTCAATATCTTTGAAAACAGAAATAGGATTCGGAGTCCTTACCACGAGATCTACACTTTCTCCAACAGCGGCGTCAGATGAAAAGCGCTCCGCGGCCTCCAAAATCCAGCTTTTCCTCTTTTCCCTTTCTATTTCTCTCTCCTCAAAATATCTGATTTCCTTAAATCATAAAGCTGATCGGCCCGGCCGATCGCCAAATCGTGCCGGGACGATCAGACCAAAATCATTGGCCTGGACGATCTCACTATCGTCCCGGACGATCCTGGGAGGAAAATCCAAGTCAGAGAGGAACAGTAAGGGAACGAGGTCTCACAGTATGACTACGGTCTCTCCAACTTCTATCACCTGACTATTATCCCTCTGACCATCGTCATCTGATAATGATTTCATCGACCTCAATCTCCCAACTATAATATCTCTAGCCTTCATCGCCCATCGACTACATTCCCTCCTACCATTGTGGCATGATTACGATCTCTTTAACCATATTCGAATGACTACGGTCCCTCTGAGTTCTATCACCTAACAATATTCACCCCCCCTCCCCGATCTTAGTCACTCAACTACAGTCCCTCTAATCTTCATCACCTTAACTATGATTCATTAGACCTCCATCGCCTAACTAAGATCCCACTGACCACCGTTGTCCTCCAACTACAGTCCCTCAACATCCATCGCATGCCGACTACTTTTTCCTCCAACATTTATCGCCTAACAAAAATCTCTTTGATCTCAGTCTAATTATGATCCATTTGATTTTCATTCCCCTACTACGGTTCCTTTGACGATAATTGCCCGCCGACTACAGTCCCTCCTGTTAAGATAGTTGCTATTTGCATGCATTATATTTTTGACAACTTATAAAGTTTTGATGATTTCAAACATTATTTCTATATATATCCAGACTGATCGTCCTGGACGATTGAGCTTCGTCCTGGACGATCTCAGCTCTGGAGAACTTCGTCCAGACGAGATTTAATTATCGTCCCCGGCGACGGGTTCTCTGGAAAATTTTCGTCCAGACGATCCAACATTTCGTCCAGACGAACCATACAGACAAAACAGTTTTCCTTGAACAACCTGTATCGATCGTCCCGGACGATCCAACTTCGTCCTGGACAAACCTGGAGCAAAACTGACATTACACAAACACGAGTGGAATCATTTTAACTTGACAAGGCCTTGAGATTTTTCCCCTTTTTACAATTTTCACATAAGAATTCTAGTATTTTTTATGACTCTTGCACTCTTCTCTCTTATTTGTGTATGTGTTGGATCTTCATACAATGCTAGGATACTAAACTTTATATATATCTATGACCATGAATGTTCTGGCATGTAACACAAATTATATTTTTTCATTTTGTTTGATTTGATTTGATGATGACTTTTTTACTTTTTTTTTAATCTTAAGCATTCGTAGGGTTTTAAGGAATTTGGGGAATGTAAGTGCATGTTGCTCCATTTTTTTCATGGTTTGATTTTATTTCAATTAATAAGAATTAAGTTTACCTAATAAATATTAATAAATATTTTTTATTTCTAAAAATGCAATACAAAAATGAAAAGGTTGTAATTTACTCTTGCTCAAAAACCCTTTACACTATTGGGGTATAGAAATTAAATTTATAACATTAGTATTGTTGTAAGAGCTATTATGTTTTATGATTTTTTTATTATATTTCCCTCTATGATTTTATATGTAAATTTTCATCTTTTTGTGGTGATGCAATATTCCTTAGAGGTACTCCAACACGATCAAAATGATGCCATGGCGCTAAGTTTTATATTTTCAAATTAAGAAAAATATCCTTTTGTAGTGTTACAGTGTTAAAAATCTAGTGTCGCATTACTCAGTAAATATTTTTTGATAAATATATAAACCCACTTTAAAAAAAAAAAATCATTTGTCTCATTTTTCCTAACTTCATGTGGCTAGAAGAGGAGGAAGCAAAAAAAAAAAAAGAGATTTTATGGTTCTTGGAGTTGTTTTCATCCATCCGGCCAATTGCGAATGTTTTTCATCTCAAGATACTCTAATTTCAGCGACTTTGTTTATTTTTGGTTTCCTAATTTTTTATTTGGTTAAAACTCATAAAATTCGTGAAATATCAATATTTAGTAAACTTTCATAGTGTTACTTTTAGTATATTATTATTTTAGTAATTTTATACATATTACAATGATCATATTAAAATTTTGAATATTTATATGCTTTGTAGAAAAAAATCCAAAATTGAATAATTTAGATGAATTTAAAATTTTGATAAATAAGTACCAAAATTTTGTTGGTGTAAGTATATCATGCATACTTGTTATAATTCAATTGTCATTATTATAATAATTAGTTTTTTTTTTTAATGATTTTCTTAAATGAAAAAAATCTGAATTTTAGCAATGTTCCTTATCAAAGAAGAGGGGGGAGGGGAGAGGAAGTTGTTCATTACTTTTTCATCTATCAATTTTGTTCAGATATTTCTTTTATTTTTTGTAAGTAACTCAAATCTCATTTTTTTTTCAATAATTTTGACTATTATATAGTATTTCTTGTAATGAATAGAATTAATCATTTGCTACTGTATTTTGATTGTGACATTTACATAAGCAAGAAAGGCTACATGCTAACAATATAAAATGGGTTAGCAGCAGTGGCGGAACCACATCAATGGGGGGGGGGGGGGGGGGGGGAGGGGGGGGGGGAGGTTTTGAAGAGAGAGAGAGAGAGAGAGAGAGAGAGAGAGAAATAATTGATTTGACTAATAACCAAAATGAAATCAGTTGAGATAAAAGATGTTGAAAATATCACATTAAAGCTATATATCATGCCTTTCTAAATTATACATTGATGCATGCATATATTGCTAATATTTATGACATTAACAGATACATTAATATCATTGACAGTATTGGATGTATTGATAGTACATAAATAGATAATGCATATAAATATATATGATAGAATTTTTTTAGTGATTTATGAATAATTTTTGCACCGTCGTTTTATCGATTTATTAAATTTTATACAATTATTTATTTTTAGATTCATTGTAATGATTCTCTACTTTTATTATTGATCATTTTGAGTTTTATTTATAATATTTGATTATTAACTACTTTGGCTATTATTGATTATAATATACTGAGCATATCATATTAATTTTTTAGTCCATGCATTGAAAGTTTTAGTGAGTTTAGATTATTGCTGGTCTTTTGAACTCATTATATGAATTTTTAAATGATTTCGGGTCAGGGAATTGGTCATGAACAATTATAGTGAGATTGTCAGAGATCTTTAGGTTTTCTTTAAATTTTAGCTTGTGACAGATAAGTGATAGAATGGTCTCCTAGCTAGTGTAAATGATACTTGGTAAATAATAGTAAAATATTTTGATATATATATATGGACTTTAGTTACTCTTAGTGATTATTATTTATATTGATGATTTATAGAAGTTCTGGTATATTCTTAAAATAATAAATAGATAATTCTTCTAAATTTGACTATGGGCGTTACAATTATCATATATATGTAGGAATGAGCATATTAAAATTTCTCATGAATCCCAATTTATATGTCAATATCATGTGCACTATAAATAATATAATAAATTATATATTGAGTGACTTTCAGATGGTTACTATATTAGATATGCTTCAAAATGTGTATATGTAAAAAAAATAGCTTATTATATTATTCAAGTTGGAGTAGATATCAATCATTAGAGACACCAGAATTTATACATGAAAAATCATGAAAAGGAAAAAATAATGGAGTCTTGGCGTCTTGCACAGTTGAAATGATTATGAAAAATCCTCGGAGAAGGGCATTGAATCAATGTAACAAAAAGTATATATGATAGTACATAATTAGAGAATTGCATGACAACTGGTATTAATAGAGTGCATGTATGTTCATTTGATAAGTAGAATCATAGTCGGCGGGCGATGACGATCGAAAGGACTGTAATTGACATGCAACGATGGTCGGAAGGACCATAGTCAACGGGTAATGATGGTCGAAAGGGTCGTAGTTGATGGGTGAAAGTGGTCAGAAGGACTGTAATCGACGGGCGATGGTGGTCGGAGGAAGGCTCGTTAGTGGCATCCATATGGAGGTATGATGATGATAGTCGACCATATAAGTTTTGTGTTCATAATTGCATTGAGATTCATGCCCGATCAAGATAGCTTTTTAATGGCATAACAAAAATAATGAATACAAATACCCAATCATTTATTCCTCTAAACAAATTTCAGCCTTCCATATGTATTATCCACTTTTAAAATTGACGGTATAGTCTAAGGACATCTCCAACCCAAAAACTTATTTTCCACTCGATTAGACAAAAAACTGAAAAAGCACTATTTTCTCTCTCCTTAAATTGCAAAACTCTTATATTTAGTGCTTGTCTATTTTATTAACATTTATTAGATTAAAAGAGATATTTTTCTTGAAAAAAAAAATTTTTGTGATGGAGAACAATAAATAATAAAATTTTCTTTCAGTATGATAACATTTATCCAGCCCATATTGAAAAGCTGATAGTTTTTTTTACAATAATTAATACAGCAATATATTTTAGATTAAAAATTCTTTAGCTTTCCAAATGACAGCCTTTCTTTGTGCAAATTATTACATGCAGTGTCCGGACCATCTGGAAGCGAATTCGGACGCGTCATGTCACCCGGATGCACCGGGGTCGGGGTGACGTGGTGCATCCGAATTCGTCTACGGACGAATCCGGACGCCGCACGTAATAATTTGTCCTTTCTTTGACAGATTTTAGCCCATATCCTTCTTCAAATCTCTATGCATTTGGCGATGGCGATATTCTTTCTCCTGGTCTCTTAGCTATGGGTGGCAAGATGGATTGACTGGTTATGTTCATGTCTAATTTGAAATTAAGATTATCCGAATTCAGATAATCTGAATCCAAATTGTTTAATAAATAGGTCTGATACATCATCAAAAATCACATTGATTAGAACAAAAATCTCGAGGTATAATTGAATTAGAAACTTTCAAAATTATATTTGGGACCATCCAAATTCTAATATTAGCAAACTTATAGCCAAACTAAACGTCTCGACTAGATGAACCCAACAACACCAAAATTGATTTAATTTGAGCCCATATGAGCTCAAATCAAGAGTTTAAAGCATATTTGAAAGCCTCATAGCATTAACTGTATGATCATATGATCTCCAAATTGGACATACTTATATTCGAATCGAGCTGCTCGACGAGATGAATCCAACAAACCTAATATCACTTAATTATGACATCATTAAAACACTTAAATGCTGAATAAATACTTTATGATAAATGGAATTAATATGTACGATGGAGTGTTTTGGATCTAGTTCTAATTACCAAAATCTCCATCTCAAAAAACTTATAAATAGGGGCCAATTATTCATATGAAAGGAGGAGGAAGAATAGAGAAAAAACTAGAGTGAGCTCTATTGTATTTTCCGGTCATCACTATCGATGACCACCACCACTTATTGTCGCCCACAACCACCATTTCCATCGACATTCAACATAAAAATAGAACCATCTCCAGAAATATTGACAAGCTTTAATCCGTTGGGTATAACTGTCCACCTATGTTCACCTATTTTTTATAATCCCTATTAGAGGAATCAAATCATGTTGTTGAGTGTTAAATGTCATTTTGTGAGCACTTGTTTCTATAATCTCCAAAAGAAAAAAAAAATAAACATATGTTTAATCCCTCTCCTCTTCCAAGGATGACGAACAGAGGATTCTTGTATCACTTATAATATAAGGAATTTTCAACTAGGTCAGGCCTCGTGTTTTATTTACATTTTCAGGTTTTCTACGTAAAAAAAATTATTTAACTATTATTTATCCGTGTGTGTTGACTTTTTTTATAATGCTGAGCTGTTAAACATATAGTGTATCAATTCAAATTTTCTAACACATAATAAGTTTAAAAAGGTCAGCCAAAACCCGGCACTCTAGCAACTCGAATAACTTGAATCAATCTTTAACCCATTTTGTTTAAAAATTTTGTTAGCTAAATAACTATAATGTTTGGGAATTTGATAAAAATAAGATGATTATACCAATTATAAAACAAGAAGGAAAATTTATTACGTGGTATATTTTCGGATAAAAAAATTAGTTCACGGGTCAACCCGAGCCGACCCGTTTATTAAATGGATTGACTTGAACCATAATTTTTTATAGTTGAATTGATAGATCAGATCATTTATTGCCACCTCTACTTGTAGCCTCCATTTTCTCTTCATTCATCATCATCTTCCTTCCTCAAACTCAATTTTAGCATCCCCTCAATACAAGTGTTTCATCTTCATTTTTGATTTAACGACTCGCTATCAGTCTTCACAACCATCATTCCCGTCTAAAGAAAGAGTTAGTAACTAATTCAATTTTGATTAACAATATTTACTCATCTATATATGCATATAATTTTATTAATTTTTTTAGCTGTTTTTTTTTTTGTGTAAAATGTTAGGGGCTTCGAACCTGAGCCACCAGAAGGAATTTCTTCTCGTCTACCAATGAGTTGAACTTGCGAGCTCTTTTTTAGTTGTTTTTTTTTTGGACATTTAGGTCATTTAAGGCAAACTCACACACACATAGACTTGAATCCTGAACCTCTTAGTTGGAAGCCTAAGCTCTCAACCAATAGGCCAAGGAGAGTTGTGTTCTTTTTTAGTTGTTAGTAAATATACATTTTATTTAATGATATAAAAATAAGCCCATCAATCACTCAGCTCATTCAATTTAATTAATCAATCAATGAAAGACTTTTTTTTTTTAATTTTAAACTTTTTTATAATACCTTAAAGCCCCTTTCTTAAATTTGATGCTTATTTTACAAGTTGAATTAGATTCTCTCTCCACCAAATGTAAAGCACGCGGACTGGGCTCGGTGTTGAGTTCTTCAGTGCTCACTGTCATAGACTTCATTGGGGGCATCGATCGAAGTTTAATTTTGTCTTTGATGGCGATCAAAACCTCGCATTCCTGTCTCTTGTTCTCCGTGATGACCAAATCCTCTACTACATTTCTAGTTTCCTCCGCTGATTGGCTTTCTGGTCGCTTCACTCCGCTGTTACCTTTCCTCCCGATTCATCTGCGTTGTTTTAGTTTGCCCGATGAGGTAGAGAAGAGCAAAAAAAGAGACATTTTTTGGTTTGCAAAGGTCAGGAGGTAAAAACCGTTTGTTTCTTCTTTGAATTGATTGGGTTTGTCTGAGGTTTTTGAACAAAAAGGTGTTGTTGAAGCCACTGTTTGATTATTCTTTGATTCCTGGGCATTATTTTTTACTTCTTTCTTATACAAATACTAATGGATTTAGGGTTTATTGATGTAATGATAGTAAAGATGGTAATAGAATCATGCAAGTGAATGGTATTGTTACCCTATTTCGGTTATTTTGTGGTAGAACTGCTTTTATTTATTTTGATGGTAAGGGAAGATGTCTTTATCTCTGTTAGCATAGGTTGACATGATGAATTAGCTTGCAGATTTATCAGGATGGATTTATTTTAGGTAAAATATCGTTGTTTAATCTCGTTGTAGTTTTTGTTTTGTGAATTTTGGTATAAACTGTGTAGATTTACAATAGAGAGAGGAACTTTAACGTGATTGTATTTGATCAATGTTTCAATGACCATCCAATTGGGGATGGTTTGTGTTGATGGAAATATATATAATACAAAATATAATATTGTATTTCACAAATTACGTTATGATTGATGAATTTAATAATTATTACAAGCTTCTCAACATATTTTGTATTATTTGTTAATGCTGCATAGCAACTTCATTGAAAATCAAGTTAAATACTTATTTATCAGTATAAGTTGTTGGGCAATCATTAAGAAAATAATCACCTATTCTACTGTGTAGTCAATGCTTGGATATCCTAATTGCAAAAAAAATGTTTTATACTATATGGAGATATTGTTATTAGAATTCAAGTTGAATGGTTGAAGTGGAGGAATGCTTCGGGTCTGTTGTGTGATAGAAAAGTACCCCTCAAACTTTAGGGAAAATTCTATGTTGGTGTTGATACCTGCAATGTTTTATGACGTAGAATGTTGGTCATTAAAAGAGAAGCGTAAAATTAAATTAAGTGTTGTAGAGATGAGGATGCTCAAGTGGATGAATAGCTTTACTCTTAGAGACAATACGGAATAAGTATATACATGAAGAGGTTGGAGTAGCTCAAGTGGCAGATAAGATTAGAGAGTCGTCGACTCGTTTATAGGCTTGCGAGTCGAGCTCAAACACGATTTTGAGCTCGACGACTTATCGAGTTCGAACAACCCTCCACTCGACTCGCTAGCTAGTTTAGCAGCTCGTGTAACTGCGACGGGAAAATGAAACCGCGGGGCTTATGTGAGCGGGAAAATAAAAATGCGGGGCTTGTGCCATGGGAAAATGAAAATGTGGATGCGGGCGGCACGTCAAGCGACACGGGATGATTGCTAATTTGATCTTTGCATCACATATTGCTTTCTTAGACTCCTTACAAGCCTCTTTATATTTTTTCCAATTATCAAAATTTTTACATTAAAAATAATTTTTATAACAAAAAATCTTAATTTTTATCTTTTCTTGAATATTTTGATTCCACCACCAACTATTTTTACTATTAGGAGATTTTTCCTTTGACATTCCGAACACTTCCGTTGTCAGATCCCGAGTCATGGATGAGAAAAGTGGAGGGTTGCGTTAGGTAGTTGACAACCAGCATAAAACTTATCGAATAATCATGACATGACATGAATTCGATGTCACGATGCAATAATAAAAAATATATTAGGATTCTTCATTTAATATAATGAGAGAATTCAACTATATTAAGGGGGAGAGCCATGTCCCAAAGTTGATCACCTTTAATGAGGAGAAGGAAGTCAATGACAATATGGGAATATGATAAGTGGACCCTCCTTTTTGCCAAGATTGAGAAGGAGATGTCTTCTTTGATGAGGGCTGATATAAGCATGAGAGGGTGATCGACTTGATGATAAATTTAAAGAGTAGATTATGGAGAAATCATCCTCCATCTTGCTACTGCCACATTACTTGGAGTGAATCAATAAGTTTGCTAAGGTTAAGAAAGCCAAGGTAGAATTGGATGACAAGGCCCATCATTTTTTTCTCTTTTGATACTTGACATAAGTGGTCCATCAACTCAAAGAATCCTCAGGATATAAGTTCAACTTGCTAAGTTTTAGTTAGTTAGTGGAAGCTAACAAGTCACTTAGATAAATTGCAGATAGAGACAGGCTAAGACAAACCCAAGAACCCTTGGATGAAAGCTCCTCGTTGAAGGTGAAGATCTCTGAGGTCCCTTGCTAGGCTAAGTTAAGATTATCAAATTTAATGGTTAATCACAATTATTTGAGCGGAAGTTTGAGAGGGGTGTCATTTACTACCTAGAATGTTGAATTGAGTGGTCTTCAGCAACATTTTTTGATGAATTCGAACGAGGATGAGTGGGGATTGCTTTTGTACCTCCTTTTCTTTTGTATTTTGATTCTATAACACAGGACAGCTAAAAGATAGGTATCCATAAAAATTAATTGGTTATAGAGATGAAACAAAGTTCCATTAATGAGAGTATTTATATTCTTCCTATTTACTCTGTATGATGTTTATTAGCTTCTGGCCTACCATTTTAGTGATTAATGGTTGATTGCTAATTAATGTTTGGCTTTGAGTCATACTTGACTCTTAGCCCCCTTATTGTGTCTTAGAGCAAGTCGTTATCTTATGGAAGGACCTCCCTTATATCTCTTTGTCTTCACGGGTGAGTTGGAAGGTGTGAAAGTGCTAAACTCATCTTTATGAAGTTGATTCTAAACTTATTTTTATGAATGTGGGTTTTAATGGTATTGGCTCATCTTTTTTCTCTTTCTATCCAACTACTACTTGAACTAAATTCCACCTATGACTTCAATGACTTGTATTCACTTGTCTCAAAATAAATTAGTACTTAAAGGAAGTACTTCTATATCAAAATTATTGAATGTCTCCAGGAAGTGTGCGAATTAATCATCAAATTGAGAATTTCGAATTGGATATGTTTTTGGTTTGCAGATATTGGGGTGTTGTTCTAGACTTTATTTATTACTTACATTTAGAAAGCTGTATTAATCTTGTTATAAATCACCTTCATAAAAATACTTGCAGATGCTATTTGTTATATGAATCCTTGAGTTAAGAAAAGAAATGGCGGAAATGGCGGAGATGTATACAAAGACATTTGAATCTGTGCAAGCAGCAATAACTTTGTTCGAGCAAAAGATAGATCCTAAAATATGCAGCACTAGCAGCAGTAAGGTAAGATACAAGAGGATAAATGGATAATATATCTGATATTTTTTTCGACCGTTAATTTGATTGCTTTTCTGTTGCTGATAGGAAGAGAGAGGAGAATTTTTTAAGGATTTAACAGATGACAATTTGCTGCTACATGAAAAAAGCCTGGCTTTTTTCGAGTTTGATGCATCTTCTAAGAACCCTGAGGAATTATTGGCCTTGTTAAAGCTGTATAAAGCTGAAAGGGACAATTATAAGGAGAAATTCAGAAAATCACAAGCTCTCTTTTTAGAATATGAGAAAGGAAATCATTTTTTTCATTCTTACAGCAATTTAGAAGCTGATGAATCAAGGACTGCTACTCAGAGGAAAGCTGAAATGATGAAGACAGAACTAAATCTGGAGGAAGGAAATAGCCAGAAGCTTTGGATGCACAATTCAGAGATTAAAAAAGTTTTCCTTTTATCTCAAGTGTCAAATATAGATGCAAAGAAGGATAGCCCTGCATTCTGTACTCCTAATGCAGAAAATTTTCTGTCACATATACAGCTAGAGGTTCTTAGAAGGCACTTGGATGAAATGGAGGATATGGAGAATGAACTGTTGAAACAGATTATAATTTCTGAATACTTACATATGGAATTAAAGCAGTCCAAAGAGGCACAAACTATTTTCTCAAAAGCTGTTTTAAGCGCCACGAATGAATTGGACCTTGTTAAATCAGAGAATGAGCGCATGAAGCAAGTCAACTCTGAGAGTGAATATTACATTCTTCAGATTGAAGAGGAAGGTGAAAGAATGAAAGAAGTGCTTGATATCTCAGCTGTGAAGATAAAGGCTATAAATAGCCAGATTGAGATGCTTGTGAGTGAGATTCAGAGGATGCAACAAGAAATTTCTAAGAGCAAGAACAAGGACTTAGAATTTCAGTCAAATGCTGCTATTCTCACATCTGAGCGTCATAATTCTTCTGCTGCCAAGGATTCAGAAGCAAGGTCTATGTCGTCGCAAGCACGATTGAACCAGGCAATCCAAAATCTAGCAGTAGAAGCCGAGGAAGCGAAAACCGAAGTACGAAGACTGGCTGAGTATAATAAAGTAGAGACAGAAAAAGAAGAAGATAGATCTAATAAGAAATCTGCATTCAATGATGCAGATGCTGGTTCCAATGGGTTTTGCACAGGCATTACAATCTCAATGGAAGAATACGAGTTTTTAATCCAGAAGTCAGAGATGGAAGATAACAGGAAGTGTGAACCTACTGATGACTCTGAGCTTAACAAGTTGAAAATAGAACTGGAAGATAAGAATGGAGAAATAAGTGAGCTGAGATGCAAATTAGAAGAGACCGAGAGAAGAGCTGAGTTGGCAGAGAAAGCCAAAGTAGCAGTGGAGAGTCAGCTCAGGAAGTGGAGGGAGCAGCGGCAGCTGAGAAGAGCTGCTTCAGATGCAGTAAAAGAGTACTGTGCTACCAAAAACGAAGCTAACAAACAGCATGAGAAGCCTTTGTTGTCTAAACTGGCTTGCATAAACCCTGAGTCTCATCCAAGAAGGAGCGTTTCCAGGCATGATGGAAGAAAATCAAGGTACGTTCCGCTCGGTAAACTTCTAAAAATAAAGTTTTAGGTTTCATTTGAGACGGCTTTCTTCTTGCTTTCTAAAACAGTTTCTAGTACAAATATTTTTTGAATTTAAATTTTTTGTACGAGAGAGCCGTTTTAAAAAGTTGTATGAAAGCTGTCCCAAACAAAGCCTTAGTTATCTTGATGTGAATGAGACCTTTGAATCAGGAAGAGTTTGGCTCCAATGGAAGTTATGAATTTGCTCTTTGCCAAATTTAATCCATTTCAAATAACATATTTTTATTGTTCAAAGGACCTTTTTCTTGTATTGCCTGATGTACTAACATTCTATATTCATGTTTCAACTTATTTGCATAGCATGTACTGCCTTTCAATAAGATAAGCTTATTTGGGACCTTTGGGTGATGCTCAATGATTTGATTTTAGATATACGTTTCATTTGGGACGGTTTTTTACTGTTTGTTAAAATAGTTTTTCTGTATAAAATTTCTTAAACTAAAAAATTTTATACTAAAAAACTGCTTTAGAAAGCAATAAAAAACCATTCCAAACGAAACTATTGATTGACTGCAAGGTTTTCTTTAGTTATTTAAATTACTAGAGTCTATTTTTTATCAATTTTATTTAGTGTTATTTCATGATATTTATATATCTAACACTCAAAAATTTTAATATTATATTCATATCACTCCTATTAAATTTTAATATCAAATATATCATTTTTATATTTTATTCTTACCAACCATAACATCATATAAATTTTAATATTTCATTCCATGAACTCATATTTGTTCTATTGATGTTAGACATGTAATATTAAAATTTTAGGTGTTAGATACGTAAATAGCATGGAATAAAGTGGTATGTATGTAAATCCCCTGTTTATTTTTTTGTTTTTTGTTTTTGAAAAATATGTTTGTTGAGTTTAATTTTAACTATTTTTATTTTATATTTATAAAATAATTCAAATTATTTTTATGAACACTCAAAATAATTTTAAATATTTTGAGTATTCTTAAGATTATAACAACTATTATAATTGGTCGTTGCCATCGCCACTATTAAACACGAACAATTATTAGGTCCTCCGACCGGACGTAGAGAAACGTCCGGTCGGCACTAAAATCCCGCCAAAAAACTCGGTATTTGCTCGGTATTGCTAGGTATTATTTGGTAAAATTAAAATTTAAAAAATAAAAGAGATCCCAAATGACCCTATTGCTTTGTTTCATATATTCTGATTGGATTTTGTATTGATTTAGCATTTTTCTTTCTCATATTTTTTCCATGAAATGAAATTGCCATCAAATTCACGCACTTAGATTCAAACATGACACCTGTTCACCTCTATTGGCTTACAGAATTCACTATTTCCTGTCTCTCTATATCAACTGTGATATTTACGAGAAATTATTAAATTATTATGTGCAGAGATCAGACACAGATCGTGGTTTAGAGGCTAACTATAATGCGCCACGTCAGTGGTACCAAGCCGTGGTACCGAGCAAGGGACGAGGTGGCGTATTATGGTTGATCTCCGGACTGCGTTTGACATCCGTATAGAATAATTAATCGAAATTTACACTCTGCAAAGAATATAAGTTTTGAGTCTTTCATCATTTTGATTGCAAATTAGGCTAATTTCACTGGTGTTAAAGTGCGCATTGGCACCAACAAATTATTTAACCTTAGGCTTCATTTATGACGGTTTTTTTATTACTTTCTAAAGCAGCTTTTTAATTAAAAAAAATTAATTATTTTTTTTTACTAAAAAAATTATTTTAAAAAACAATAAAAAATCTATTACAAACAAAACTTTAGTTGACCAAACTACAGTTATCACTGATTGAAATTCTACTTAGTTGCAGAGTCCTGTAGTTTTAATCCTCTCAAATATATGGTTAATAAATTCTGTCCATTGAAAAAAGAATAGAAAATTAGGGTTTGAAAAACCATATTACATGGCAGTAATTCTAGTGGTAAATAAGATTAGAATTTTCTTAAATGGTTTCGTCACATAAAACATTGGAATTTAGATGTTCATGTTAGGAGAATATATTTATTAGATCTGGCTTATGTTAAGAAAAGTGGAGGTAGATCTAAAAAAAAAGTTGGTTAAAAAGTATTAAAAATGATATTTTTATTAGATTTAAATGAGAATTTGACCTTAGTATAGATAAATTATTCTGTCCAGAGGCGAATCAGAGCACGCCACGTCACTTTTTGATGTATACCGCGGCTATGTACCCGCTGTGTACTGGGTGACGTGGCATGTTCTGATTCACCTCCGTACGGTCTGCTGTCCTCATATAATAATTTCTCCTTAATATGACATAATGTAGAAAAAGAATTTGTGCGCCGATCCCATGTAATAAAATATATATTTCATTCCATTTGTAAAACAGAAATTCTACAAAATTTTAGATTGATTGCATCTTTTTCAAAAACTATTTGATAATTTCAAAGCCAATCACAATTTGGCTATCTATTTCTTTTCTCTGTCAAATGGTTCTGAATGAAAAGCATCTGCTTCTACTGTTTAACATACTAATTGAAATCTTCATCTTGTTTTATTGTAATGGTGTTGAAGGAATAGGCCAAAGCTGTCTCAATTATTTAGTTAAAAAAATAAATAAATTTATTCTTAATGTGATCAACTCATGATTTGTTTAATTCTGAGCCATTTGGATTATAATTATCTCATTATTAATTGATCCACTTCTTAGGTTCTTCCACAATGGCAATTCATGGAACCCAAAATCTTTTATTTCTTTGAATTAAAATTGTTTCTCACGTATCAAAGTGGATTATCTTAAAAAAATAATCATCCTCATTTCTATATAAAATTAATGAATAATAAATTTATTATTTGCTGTATTTAATTTGAAAACAAATTTTATTTCATATCCAAAAAATATTTAAAATAACTTCTAGCATAGAATAAATCAATAATAATTAAATTATTGTTTTACATAATTCTTTAACTTATATATTATATCAAGATTAGGGCTAGTCAATTGAATTTTCTTGAGAAATACAAAGATTTTTGTTTATTTTTTCAGTTAAAATATAATGACTTTGCATTTATCATTAATATTGAAAGATGCCCTTCGAGTATATTATCACTAATTAAGCTAAAGGTTAAAACTGATTCCTTGCAACAAAATTTTGTTTTATATGTTAATTAATTAATCATTAACGGGCCACAAAATTTAGAGCATAGAATCTTCTACGCTATAATTTTTAATTAGAAGCAGCACTCATAATTAATGATGCCAAAATTTTAAATACAAGGGTTTGTAATTAGTCCGAATATACTTAGCCTCTTTGAATTAAAATAATTAAAATTAAATAGCGATAATATCAATATGGAAAGATATCAGGAAACAATTACTACTCCTGGCCGCCATTATCCTTCTCAGTCCACAATCCCATGCAAGGTTTTTCGTATTTAATATTTATATCTGATTTAAGTTTTATTTCTTAGAGCTTTCTTATTACTTTTAAAAATAATTTTTTCTATTAATATTATTTAAATTGAAATTTTAAACTAGAAAGCAAATTTTAAAATTGGTAAGAAAGTTGTCTAAGAAAAAGCTTAGGCTTCATTTGGGAGGGACTTAAAACAAAGTTTTTTACAAAAATTTAGTACTAAATTTTCGTTTTAAGAAGCAATAAAAAAGCAATTACTGGGTCAGCTTTCTTGAACAATTTTTTTTTTTGAATTAAAAAAGTTTTATACTAAAAAATGTTTAAAAAAACATTAAAAAGTTACCCTTTTGAAAGAAAATTATAGTAAAAGTTAATTTTTGTTTCCCCGCACTAGCTTCATAATCAATTTTATGAAAATTTGAAACTATTCTAAAATTAATTTTAAATTGATAAAATTTAAATTATTAATTATTTTTAAATAAAAATATACATATAAATAATCATATACTTTTATATTACATTAATTTTAAAAGAAATTAAATAATTAAATAATTAGCATTCATTTCCTATTATTATGAATAATAATAGTTTTTATATTTTATTTTACTTGTGAAGGCATCTTCAAGCACAACTATATTTTATTACCATGAACAACATCAAAGGTGATTATTTCGTGTGAAGGAATTATTTTCATTATATAGCATAAATATAAATGTACATAATAAACAAACTCTCATGCATATTATATAATTTAAATATCATAATATATATAAATATGTTTATGAATATTATTATTGTAAATATTTTGAAAATGAATCAAAAGAATTAAATTATTCATTTATTAATTTAATTTAAAAATAAATCTAATAATTTTAAAACCCTCCAAATTAAAATTATATGATAATAAGTTTTGTATATATGCTAAAAATAAAAAAGATATATATCAAAATTCTCTCTAAACTATTAATTTATTTTAATCTCATATTATCTAATATGCCCATTTTAATTCAATCACTCATTAAATCCTATTCAATATAATTTTTCGAATCTTCAAATTTTAGAAAAAAAAACAAAAAATGAAATTTATTTTCAATTATATTTGAGGAATAAATATATTAAATTAAATTTATTTATAATTTGAGATGAAAATGATCTTATATAATTAATTTAGTAATTTTTTTATTTTTAATTTTAAAAATATATGAGAGATTATATGTTTATTTTAAATACTATATATGCCCAATTTTCGCGGGATTAAAAAAAAAATCTCTTTTGTAATATGCGTGCAGAACTTAGCTGCTCCTTTCTCATGATCGCCGTCGCCGCGATATGTCGGAGAAGAAAAACTCTCTCATAATCGGCAACAAGCTCTCTTATCCCCACTTCTTCTTCCTCCTGTTCCTTTCAATCGCTTCCTCTGTCACCGGATATTCTTCACCGCGGACGGAAAAGCAAGTTCTGGTCGACCTGAAGCACTTCCTCCTCGGCGAGAACCTCGTCAACCGCGGACACTACGCCGCCTGGAACGAGTCCGAATCCTCCCCCTGCCTCTGGCCCGGCATCGCCTGCACCGCCGAAGGTCGCGTCTTTTCCATCAACCTCAGCCACTCCAGCATCGCCGGCGGCATCTTCCCCAACTTCTCACTCTTGCCTGCTCTCACCCACCTTGACCTCTCCGACAACGCTATCGACGGTCGTGTTCCGCAGGATCTGAGCCAATGCCGCCAACTACTGTATCTGAACCTGTCACAAAATCTCATCGCTGGGGATATCAATCTGACGGCGCTCACCCTAATCGAAACCCTTGACGTTTCGGTTAATCGCTTGACTGGTCGGGTTTGGTCTAGCTTCCCGGCGAGTTGTGGGAATTTGGTTGTTCTTAATATCTCTTCCAATGACTTCACGGGGAAGATTGCAGAATACTTTGATGGTTGCCGCCGGAAGTTGAAGTTTCTTGATTTGAGCTTGAATCAGTTCGATGGGGATATATGGAGGGGATTTTGGTGGTTGAGTGAGTTATCGGCGTCCGATAATAGGCTTACGGGAGCGATTAGGCCCGAGAATTTTCCGGCGAAGTGCAGCCTGGTAAGTCTCGACTTTTCCGGCAACGGCTTAAATGGAAGCTTCCCGGATTCTATCGCTAACTGTTCGAATCTGAAGGTTTTGAACCTTTGGGGGAATTTCTTCACCGGAAGGATCCCTTCTGGCATAGGATCGCTGACTGAGCTCAATAGCCTCTTCCTTGGCAACAACAGCTTCGACCAGGAATTGCCGGTGGAGCTCCTCAATTGTTCGAAACTGACGTATCTCGATCTCAGCAGGAACAATTTCCGCGGAGAAATGCAGCGTATTTTCGGGAATTTCTCCTCGCTCAAATTCCTCATTCTGCATTCGAATTCGTACACAGACGGAATCGAAGAATCTGGAATCCTCGAGCTTCCAAATCTACGCCGGCTCGATCTCAGCTTCAACAATTTCTCACGGGAGCTTCCTATCACCGCCGCCGAGATGATGGAGCTTGAATTCTTGATCCTTGCCAACAACGATTTCCATGGAAAAATTCTGCCGGCGTATGGTGGAATCAAAACACTCCAAGTACTGGATCTCTCCTTCAATCGTCTCAGCGGCGAAATTCCTCCCCAGATTGGTAATTTGACATCGTTGCTCTGGCTCATGCTCAGGAACAACGAGCTTACTGGCGGGATTCCGCCGGAGATCGGCAATTGCCGTAGCCTCATGTGGCTAAATCTCGCCAACAACCGCCTCTCCGGCAGGATCCCGCCGGAAATAGCCGGAATAGGACGCGACCCCTCGTCGACGTTCAAGAAAAATCGGCTGTACGATGACATCATCCTCGGTTCCAACGAATGCCAGGCGATGGTGCGGTGGCTGCCGGCGACGTACCCGCCCTTCAGCTTCGTCTACTCCGTCTTAAATCGCCGAACGTGCAGCGCGCTCTGGGACCAGCTCCTCAAAGGTCACGGCATCTTCTCTGTCTGTTTAAATGTCTCAAAGCCGATTAGGACCCTGGACAAGTCTGGATACCTCCAGCTCTCCGGCAATCTACTCTCCGGTGTGTTCCCGTCAGAGATCGGCCGGATGCAACTGCTCAGCATCCTCAGCATCGCAAACAACAAGATCTCCGGCGAACTTCCTCCGGCCATCGGGCTGCTTCCCCTCGTCATGCTCAATGCCTCCAGCAACAACTTTTCCGGTCCCATACCGCCAGAGCTCGGCAGACTACGATGCCTCCAGTTCTTGGACCTATCTCTCAACAACTTTTCCGGTGATTTTCCTTCCAGCCTGAATGGCCTCTCCGAGCTCAACAAATTTAACGTCTCCTACAACCCTCTCCTGCATGGAATAATTCCGATCACCGGCCAGATCACTACCTTCGGCAACAGCTCCTTCATTGGCGACCCACTCATTTCATTCTCCACATCCGCGTCCCCTCCCCGCCCGACTCTGATCGGCGGATCCCCCGCCACGCCCCACCGTTCAACTGCAAAAATGGTCTCTTTCTGGGCTTTCATCTCCTTCACCGCACTCATTTTCTTCCTCGGTCTCATCTTCTTCATCATCTGCCTCAGAAGCCGGTCCGCCGTCGACCCAGTTTCAATGATTTCAGTTTCGGAATCAGATTCATCTATTCTCGAAGAAGAAAGCTTCAAGCAGTCGAGTTCCTCGACTGAACAACTAGCTACGCCGCCTCCGAAATCCACTTCAAACCCTTCTAGCTCGCCAATAAGTGTTTTCCATCTCGATATAACCGCCTTCACGTACACCGACATCGTGGCCGCCACCAGAAACTTCTTACCGGACATGGTGATCGGCCGCGGCGGCTCCGGCGTGGTCTACCGTGGCATCTTACCGGACGGACGCCTTGCCGCGGTGAAGAAATTGCAGAGAGGAGGAACAGAAGGAGAACGAGACTTCCGCGCAGAGATGGAAGTTCTCGCCGGCGGGCACCCAAATCTAGTGGCGCTGTACGGCTGGTGCCTCGCCGGTCCGGAAAAGCTCCTTGTCTACGAATACGTGGAAGGAGGGAGCTTAGAAGAGGTAATCGAAGATAAGGAATCGTTCGGCTGGATAAACCGACTGGAAGCCGTTGTAGGGGTAGCTCGAGCGATGGTATATCTACACCATGAATGTTCGCCGTCGGTGGTTCATCGAGACGTCAAGGCGAGCAATGTGATGAGAGACGCCGACGGGAATGCCAAAGTTACGGACTTTGGATTGGCGAGAGTGGTGGTGAATGGAGAGACGCATGTGAGCACTGTGGTGGCGGGGACGGTGGGGTATGTAGCGCCGGAGTATGGGCAGACATGGAGGGCGACTAGAAAGGGTGATGTTTATAGCTTTGGGGTATTAGCATTGGAGTTAGCGACGGGGAGGAGGGCGGTGGAAGAAGGAAGGGAAGAGTCTTTGGTGGAGTTGTCGAGGAGAGTGGGGAAAGAGGAGGTGGAGTTGAAGGGATGGGGGGAGGAGGAAGGTGGACAGGCTATGCGGGCGTTGTTGAGAGTAGGGATTAGATGCACGGAGGAGGCGCCTCAGGACCGGCCGGACATGAGAGAGGTGCTTGAGTTGCTGTTGAGGATTCGCAGTGGTGCTTATTCAATCCCGGAGGAATTGTAACGGTAACTTCTTTCAGTTTGAATTTTTTTTTTTGTGGGTGGGATATATTGATCAGAATTTGGTTTAATTTAAATTTTTTAAATTTATTTAAAATAAATTTTTATTGAAATAATCTGATCTAAATTTGTTTCTCGTTTCATTTCATGCATAAGGTGTGAATTATAAAATTTAGATTTTATTTGGGATGACTTTCTCAAAGGCATAGGGCATGGTGAGATACACTGTGGTGATTGTATAGCTGAAGAGGAGGCTGTAATTAAATATTAATATCATTTAATCATAATATTGGCATGTGATTAGTAATTTTTTAATGAAATTATTTTTTCTTAATTTCGGTGAAATTACAATTTTTGGACAAGTAATGCTACTGCAATGTTTGATTATCATCTTTGACTTGTTGCATGACATATTTAGGCTCCGGTTGGGACTATTTCTTATTATTTTATAAAACAAATTTTAGCATTTTTTTTTATAAATTTTTTTTACCAAAAAAACTGCTTTAAAAAGTAGTAGAAAAATTATCCTAAACTAAGTCTAAGTTTGGGACTTTTTTCTTACTGCTTCCTAAAGAAAATCATGTCATTAATGTAAGAAAGCCGTCCCAAACAAAGCTTTATTTTGATCCTTAAGTTTGTTGAAAATCATGTCATTAATGTAATTTATTTATCACAAACTTCTCTATATTTAGTTATAAACATATCAATTAATTTTTTTTAAGGTCATTAATGCTTTTTTATAGAATATTTGCATGTTTTTTAAAGTCCCTTAATGTGTTATTTGGTTTGAAGTAAAATAGATGTAAAATATTTCAAATGCAGTAGTTTTGAAAACTTTAAGGCTTGTTTTGACGTAAAATGAATGCTATTTTTAAGTATTTGAAATTCACTCTTGAGCTAATTTTGGTGTTTTGAAAATCATTAGAGTTGATCAAGTTTTAAATAAACTGTAATTTTTTTACAATGGCCACCATCTGTTGCCGTCACCATCTACTAGCAGCCACTATCGCCCACCATCAGCCACCTTCGCCTTCTTTGACCACCAATTGTTGCCCGCTACCTCCACCGCCGACCATCATCTAACCCGCCGGCCACTATCATCATTGGAATTGACGGTGCATTTATTTTACTTAAATTTAAGAAAAAATTTACGTTTATTAATTTTCCCTAACTCAACATTTAAAAAATATTTTAAATACATTACATTTCTTCTATATTGCATTTCTTTTTAACAAACCAAACAATCTTTGAAAGATATATTTTGATGATATAATTACATTTTTTTAAACCCATTCTGAATAATATGAAATATATTAAAACTTCGTTTGAGACAGCTTTCTTAATCCTTTCAAAAGTAGCGTTTTAATACAAAAATTTCTTTTACTAAAAAGCTGATTTAGAAAGCAGCAAGAAAGTGTTCCAAATGAAGAGTGAATCTATATTTTATTAATTTGGATATTATCTTAATAGTAGTAGATATTGTCACACATTTATCAATAAATATAACTACAAAGTTTAATATTACAAAATATATGTGTGGATATTTCATATTTGTTTGTTATGACTTACTCTTAATATTGATACAAATGACAATATATACTCATTTGTTTGGTATGTCGCGACAAGTTATACATTTTTAAATAGAGCATAATCAACGGGAGCTCTTCCATTGTTCCAAAAGAGGCAATTATTCTCTCTTCATCAACATGTATTACAATATAAAGATAAGGAATATGTGAAATGCAAGAAGTCGGATACGGAAACAGAGAGGGAAGAGACAATAAAGAACAGAGATTGAAGAAATGAAAGACTGTATTCTATATAGTCCAATAGCTATTACAGAGCTTGCTTATATAGAGATTAAATACAAGAAACTCAAGATAGTACAAACGGTAAATAGAGGAGAGCTAATGAGCTTTTGACAGGTGTCTTAACATTCCTCCTCAAATTAATCATTCGGTGATCGAATGGTTAATTTGTTCCTGAGATTTTGAAATTGTTTGAGCGGGAGAGGCTTGGTGAGGATGTCTGCGACTTGGTCGGTTGAGCTGATGTGTGCGATATGTATATCTCCTTGCTTGATGTGTCCACTGATGAAGTGATAGTCAATTTCTATGTGTTTGGTTCTGGTGTGGAATACCGGATTGTTGGCGAGGACAATGGCGGAGGTGTTGTCGCAGAAGATTGCCGTAGGATTGGTTTGAGTGTGAAATTCTGCAACAAGTCGATGAAGCCACAAAATGTCTGATGTGGAGGATGATAGTGACATGTATTCCGCTTCTGTAGATGATTTGACAACTGTGCTTTGTTTCTTGACGGACCAGGAAATAAGGTTCAGACCAAGGAAGGTGCAGTATCCGGTAGTGGACTTCCGATCGGTGGGATCGGCCGCCCAATCTGCATCCGTATATGTGCGAAGTTGTAGATTGCCATGGGTGATTGGTAAGCCGAAGTTGAGAGTGCCTTTTATGTAGCGTAGTAGCCGCTTGAGTGCATGAAAATCACAATTGCGGGGATGATGCATTCGTTGACAAATTGAGTTGGTTGCAAAGGCGATGTTGGGTCTTGTATTGGATAGGTACTGTAATGATCCTGCTAGTTTACGAAATAGAGTCAGGTCGAAAAATTCTTGTTCGTTCTGCTGGGTACCTAGTTTGGAAGCCATGGGTGTCGGGGACGGCTTGCATTCGGAGAAACCTGCAAGTTGGAGGAGTTCATTTGCGTAGTGACTTTGAGTTAGAAAATAACTATTGGAGTTTTTGATCACTTGGATCCCGAGGAATCACATTACCAAGTTGTTTTAAATTGAACGCAGAGTGGAGCTGGTGAAGTATGTCTTGAAGCTAGATGTTATTATTCCCGGTAATTAGAATGTCGTCGACATAGATGAGAATGAATAGTTTGGTGCTGTTGTGTGATAGAAGAAAAAGTGGCGGGTCTGCTTTCCTGTGAGTGAAACCGAGCTGTTGTAGAAAGGAGGTAAACTTTTGAAACCATTGGCGGGGGGACTGCTTTAAGCCGTAGATTGATTTGTGTAGTTTGCTAACGTGTTGAGCATGTTGAGAGTCTTCGAATCCAATGGGATGTTTCATGTAGACTTCGTCGGGAAGATCACAGTGTAAGAAAAAATTGGAGACGTCGAGCTGTGTGATTGGCCATTGGTTGTTTGTTTCTATGGTGAGTAGGATACGAATTGTTACCATTTTTGCGACGGGGCTAAATGTCTCGGTGTAGTTGACGCCGAATTGCTGTGAGCAGCCTTGGGCTACGAGGCGCGCTTTGTAACGTTCGACGTCGCCGTTGGGTTTGAGTTTGGTCTTGAATGTCCATTTGCATCCGATAATAGGTTTGTTTTTAGGAGGTGACACAAGGGACCATGTCCCTTGCCGCTGAAGAGCTAAGTATTCTGAAGACATGGAAGCTCTCCAGTGTTCATGTTTGGATGCTGGAGCATAGGACGTAGGGGAGTGTGCTGTTGTCGAGACAACGGACATATCAAATATCTCTTTCGGTTTCGTGAGGTCGGACCGTAATCTTGTTTGCATAGGGTGTCGGATAGTGACATTGTTACTGAAGAAAGAGATTTAGAAACAGTAATATTTATTTCTATCTTGAACTGATACATAGCACTTGTATTTATAGCCTGAGATAGAACAGACTCTACTACAGGTTTATGACATGTAAACAGATTACAGGTTATATATCAGGTAGTCTTAATACACCCCCTCAAGCTAATGGGTCTGAATGAACCGTAAGCTTGTCTCGAAGAAATTGATAGCGAGGCGTGGATAGGTGTTTGGTGAAGATGTCGGCTACTTGATCTTTTGTTGAGATGGGAAATATGTTAACCGTTTTCATGTCTATGTGATCCCTGATGAAATGATGATCAATCTCGATATGCTTTGTTCTTGCATGGAAGACCGAGTTATTAGCCAATGCTATGGCAGATGTGCTGTCACAGTGAAGTGTTGTCGGAGAAGTAAGAGAGATGTTGAAGTCGAGCAGCAGTCTTCGTAACCATATGATGTCGGTTAGTGCAGCAACAATTGCACGGTATTCAGCTTCGGTAGAAGATCGTGCTACTGTGTGTTGTTTCTTGACGCTCCAGGAGATAAGAGTGTTCCCAAAAAATGTACAATAGCCAGATGTGGACCGTCTTGTGTCCTTATCACCAGCCCAATCTGCGTCAGAAAATGATTGGAGAATTGTAGATCCCTGTTAAATCGGTAGACCATATGTTAGAGTGCCACGAATATATCTTAATAGACGATGCAGAGAATGAAAATTTAGAGGCATTAGATTGTGCATTTGTTGACACAGAGAGTTAACGACAAAGGATATGTCTGGTCTAGTTAGTGTGAGATATTGCAGTGCTCCCACTAAATGTCTGTATAAATTTGGATCGGATTCAAGAACAGTTGATGTCAACATGTCCGGTTGTTTGGTCTGAGAAGGATTTGCAAGTTGCTTGCATTTGGTCATTCCTGCAGTGTTAAGAATTTGTTGGGCATATTTAGTTTGAGACAAATAGAAAGAATTTTTGTTCTGGGTAATCTGAATGCCCAGAAAACTGTTTGCAAAACCCAAATGTTTCATATTGAATTTGCTTTTGAGTTTGTCTAGCGTGCTGGTGATCATTTCAGGACTATTTCCTGTGAGTAATATATCGTCGACATAGATCACCATGTATAATTGCACTTCGTCTTTACGCCAGATGAAAAGGGAAGTGTCTGCTTTGCCTGCCACAAACTCGATGGATTGTAGATGAGTGGATAGTGTTTGGAACCACTGTCTCGGAGATTGCTTTAATCCATATATGGATTTCTTGAGTTTACACACGTAGTGTGGATACTCGTCGTCCTCGAATCCTTTCGGCTGTTTCATAAAGATTGTTTCATTTAGATTACCATGTAAAAAAAGCATTCGTAATGTCAAGCTGGTGTACCGGCCAGTTGTTAGTGATAGCTATAGTAAGAAAAGTATGAATTGTAGGAAACTTAGCTACGGGGCTGAACGTCTCCAAGTAATTTACGCCATATTGTTGTGTATTTCCTTGGGCAACGAGTCTTGCTTTGAATCGTGATACTGTTCCGTCAGATTTGTATTTTGTGCAAAATATCCATCGACTGCCGAGGATGGACGTATTTGGCGGTAGTGGTACTAGATCCCATGTCCCCTGCTTGTAGAATTCATCAGCCATCGCCTTCCTCCAGTGACTGTATTTGCTAGCTTCTTGATATGTGGTTGGTTCACCCAGTTTTTATGTTTCTGTATTTGTCTGCAGGTGAAGTAAGTTCAGTTTTTGAACCGGTTTGAGTTTACCTGTTTTCAATCAAGTAGTCATAGGATGATGAGGTGGGATATGTCTGGTTTTGGAAGGCAAGATGGTGGTTGTGTGCTCAATGTTGACATTGCTTGGAACAGCATTAGTGGGTTTGTTGGAACTTTCAGAGACAATTTGCTGAGATGCCTTACTCCTTTGGCTGGTAGTTTGAGTAGCATATTTGATGTTGTGCATTGGTCTAGTGCTTTGTACCGGGACAAGAAGGGACGGCTGTGAGACCTGCTGCGTTGAGGATGTAGTAGGAGTTTCTATGAGCTGAAATGGAAAGGTATTTTCATCAAATATTACATGTCGAGAAGTAAATATTTTATTGCTAATGATATCCATGCATTTATATCCTTTAGATATTGATGAATAACCCAAAAATACGCAAGACCGAGAGCGAGGTTGCAGCTCGTGTCGTTGCGCAGGTGGAATCCAGGGATAGCACGCGCACCCGAACACTTTGAGTAGATTGTATTCAGGTTGTTTGTGGTATAACAATTGTAGTAGTGAGCTGAGTTTGTTTGTGATGGACGGCAACCTATTTATAAGGTATGAGGCTGTAAGCACTGCGTCAGGCCAAAAGGAGTGTGGCATCGAGGCAGCATGTAAAAGAGTTCTTGTTGTCTCGATTAAGTGTCTGTGTTTGCGTTCGGCGGACCCGTTTTGTTCCGGCGTGTATGGACAAGAGGTTTGTTGTTGTATCCCCTGTGATGTAAGATAGATGTTGAAGCTAGAGTTCAAAAATTCTTTCCCACCATCTGAACGTAAGCATTTTATGTGATGATTCGTTTGTTTTTCAACAAATATTTTGAATTGAACAAAAATAGAAAACACGTCAGACTTATTGCGCATAGGAAACACCCAGGTAAATTTAGAAAAATCATCGATGAAAACTACGTAGTAAAGAAAGACTTGATGAGAGGGGACTGGTGACGGTCCCCAAACATCCGTGTGAATAACTTGTAAAGGAACAAAAGATCTAGTCGAATGATGATTAAACGCAAGTCTGTGGCCTTTGGAGGCAGTACAAGTTTTACACAAAGAAACATTCTTTGGTATATGTAGCAATTTATTAGAATTCGAAACTAGATGCATTATTTGTTTATTGGGATGTCCCATTCTCTGATGCCAGAGAAAGGCCCGGTCAGTAGAAGCAGTGAGAGCGATCTGGTCTTTGTGAGAGTTGCTTGATCTAATCGGATATAATCCTCGTCGACTTAGTCCCTCCAGAATGGTTTGATTTGTCGTCAAATCCTTAATAAGAAAACAGTGAGAATCAAAATAAACAGAGCCATTGTTGTATTTGGTTAATTGAAATATGAATAGCAAATTGTGTGATAAATTTGGAACATGAAACAATGATTGAAATTTTAACTTACTATTAGGTGTAGGCAGAATACCATTGCCGGAATGAGCAATCGGTATGTTCCTTCCATCACCTATGGTGATGCTATCGTTACCAGAATACGACGCTGCTTGAGAGACGTTGTCAAGCGAGTGATTCAAGTGTGCATATGCGCCCGAATCCAGATACCAGTCTTGATTCTCATTCTCTGTCGCAGCGAGCATTGCACGAGATGCTGGAGTCTGTGATTCCAGAGGATTTACCGTCATATTTGATTTGTGCCAGCAATTATTTGCGGTGTCCGCGTTTATTGCATATTTGGCATTGCACGGGCTGGCTGTTGCTCGATCTTGATGGTTGAGATGAATTTCTTCCTCTTCCTCTGCGTCCGCGACCACAGGATGTATACAGGGCTGTGGAAGAATCTTGCAGAGATGTTGTTCGAAGTGAGTCTGCCTGAATATTAATTTCCTCACTTATTAAAAGTGAGTAGAGATTATCAAGAACTATAGGATGTAGCATCATGTGTATTGACGTTTTAAACGCATTGTACGATGGTGGAAGCCCATTTAAGGTGTACAGAACTATATCTTCTTGATCAAGAATCATTCTGGCGCTGATAAGTTGTCTGTTATAGTCTTGATTTGGGTAAGATATTGAACCATTGTTTGATTTGCCATCTTCACATTGTGTAACTCATTCCATAGTTGTATCACCCTCGATCTGTTCGACGACTGAAGGCGTCGTTTTATGGTTCCCCAAATTGATGAGGTAGATTCCAGGTTGATGACATAGGGTAGAATGGTTGACGATATTGTCGAGGAAATTGCGGCAGTTAGGTTCTGATCAACGTGTACCCAGTCACGGTATTTTGGATTCGTTTCTTGATGACCCTCTGGTAAGTCAATATACCTAGCCGGTGGAGATGTCGGTGGGAGAAGAAAATTCGGAAAAACCATTAGCCGTTAGAAGTTTGAGGATTTGAGAACGC